TGCTTGTCACTGTATAGCAAGAGTATATGATTTGCTATTCACGAGTGAAATACCTTGTGCAACAGTTCTTGTATATTCGAAATATTCCCGACGTTTATAATGAATGTATAGGCATATTGTATTGACTGCTAGTTTTGCCCGCTATTTTTCTGTTTTGAAAAGCGATGAGTGTAAGACGAGTGTCGTGCCTGTCGGCGGAAATTCCCAAACAGACATTAACGCAACCCGTAGCAACGGCTTTGGAAAACAGGGTCGACAAAAATTTGAGAAAAAGAAATACTGCGATATTATTAAGAAAAGTGTTGCCGTTTTTATTTAGCATATATGCAGCAGTATATAATGTTGGCCGCACATTACAATACTGTTTGTCAATGTCAATGAAAATTTATTTTGGTAGTAGCAACAGTAAAAGTTAATTTTTATTGAGGAAAACTTTTCAATTACACATATAAAGTCATTATTATTTTGTGTTTCAACGTGCAATCCAATTACCTTTAAACTCGTTTTCGTTTTATAAAAGTATATTGGGCTGAGACTGACTGTGAAACATAAATTGGCTGAAAACGCGATGTCGATGACTCATCAGATACTTAGACTCTGACACTGAAAATTACCATGCCTGATATTCAAACCCATTGTTACGGTTAGTTATTAAGAGTCGTAGATGGGTATTACCGTTATGATACTGAGTATTTTAATAAAATGCATGCTTTTTTTCGACATTTGATCTACTTATGTCATATAATTATAATCATCCTGTGGCAGCACGCGACTGAGTGTAATATATTTGAAATGTGGAATTAACAATCGGCTTTCTAATATCAAAATCAATGCGCCTTTAGATTTACTACCGAATAGTCGTATGGCTCATTATCGTATATCTATAGAATGTTTTCCGCTATACACAGCAACTACAGTAATCTAATTGGTACTTGGTAGCACCAGATTACTATACTATTTACTACCGCGTGTTAGCGTGTATATGTTTTTCGCTACAAAACTAAAGATTAGTAGAATCGAAAATTTCAGATTAGTAAACTAGAATTCAAGTCACTGCATGCGCTTTACATTTATTACCGCGTAACGAATACAGTATCGAATGTATTATTTCAGCCTCTAAATAGCAGTTTACCGATTGGCAAATCACGGAATTCGGCTGGTATTTATAAAATATACTGTATGTTACTAACAAGTTCTGTCCTTAAGATTAAAACTGATTTTCGTTTATTAAAGGCATATTTGACTGAGGCTTAGTGAAACATATAAATTGGCTGGAAAACGCGAAGTCGATGACTCATCAGATGCTCAAGCTCTGACACTTATACATTAGCATACCTGATATTCAAACCCATTGTTACTGTTAGTCATTATTATCGCGCATTTTTCATTTGACTAAACGTTTATATTTGTGTAATGTTTGTCTATATAACTATTATAAATCAGGTGCAATGTTTTTCCATAAACGTTTTCCAATCATCCAGTGGCAGCGCGCGACTGAATGTAATATATTTGAACGGTGGAATTAATAATACTTGCTAAAATGAAAATCAATGCGCTTTTAGATCTACTACCCAGTAGTCTGTATGACTCAGTCATAGAATGTCTTCATGCTGCTACACGGCAACTACATGAGTGATCTAATTGCATGGTATTTGATAGTAGAACCAAATTACTATAGTCTTGTATAAAAGTATAGAATCAAAATCACTGACCTTTAATTACTCTTTAATAGATTTACTACCGCGTGCATGTATATAATATTATATGCTTTTCGCTACAAAACTAGAGATTAATAAAATCGGAATTATCAGATTGCTAGAATTAAAATCACTGCGCTTTAGCCGGATTTACTACCGCAGGCCTATATCGAATACAATATCGAATATAATTCCGCCATTTTTTCTACATTTAATAGCAGTTTAATTACGATTGGCAAATCACGGAAATCCTATATCTATATCTACAGTATAATATATACGTAATATATAGAGGTAGTGACTTTCAATTATGTTTATTAATTTATTTCACGGAGCTTAATTATGTTCGGGTTTATTGAAAGATTTAATTACAGGCTTATTTTAGTTTAAAAACAGCATTTTTGAAGAGTTTACAATCCGAGATCTGCTCGCATCTTTTGAAGACCTATAGTTACAGTTTATAAACTCATGTACCCGCCACTTCTGCACATGCAGTCAAGGTATTGCCAATTTGCCATTACGGCATTGGTAAAACATCGGTCAAACTCGACCGAACCTCAACCTAACCTCAACCTGACCGCGACCGAACCTCAACCTAACCTCAACCTAACCTCAACCTAACCTCAACCTAACCGCGACCTAACCTCAACCTAACCTCGACCTAACCGCGACCTAACCTCAACCTAACCGCAACCTAACCGCGACCTAACCGCGACCGCACTGTTAGATTATTTCTGGACAGTACTGTAAGAGAAGTTCATCTCGCAATTTTATGATTGCTTGAGACGGAGCACGAGTAGCTACTGAATTTGGATTTTGAACAAACTTACCAATGTGTTTGGCGTATGAGAGAGGTGCATTTCGCAATGCATGATTGCTTGTGACCGCGAGCACGGTTCAGTTACTGAATTTGGTTTAAGGTACAGTGGCCAATGTGTTTGGCGTATGAGCAATGTGCATCTTCCAATGCAGGTGTGCTTGCAATCCAGCACGATTAGTTCAGTGCATTTGAATTTAAGGCAATGTGGCCAATTTGTTTGGTGTATACGAGAAGTGCATCTCGCAATTGTATGCTTGCTTGTGACCGAGCACGAGTAGCTACTGAATTTGGCTTTAAGGCAAACTGGCCAATGAGTTTGGCGTATGGGCGACGGTCATTTCGCCATTGTATGATTGCTTGTGACCGAGCACGAGTAGCTATTGACTTGGGATTGAAAGGAAAGACTCGTGTGTTTCGCGTATGCGAGAATTGCATCTCACAATACATTATTGCTTGAGTGACGAAGCACGCTTACCTACTGCATTTGGATTTAAGTCACGTACAGTGGTCAATGTGTTTGGTGTGTAAGAGCAGTGCATCTCGCAATTGTAGGATTGCTGGAGACCGAGCACGAATAGCTACTGAATTTGGATTTAAGGCAAATTAAGTGCCCACTGTGTTTGCCGTATAAGAGAAGTGCATCTCGCAATTTTATGATTGCTAATTGTGACCGAGTAAGAGTCTCTACTGACTTAGGATTGAAAGAACCGGCTCAGGTGTTTCGCGTATGAGAGGATTGCATTTTATAATACATGATTGCTTGGGATCAACAATGGCAGCTATTGATTTGGAATTTGGAAATCATTTGTTAATGAGTTTGGTGCATGCGCGGGAGCGGCGTCTCGCAGTTACGGAATTTGTTTAGTGGTCCGTTGCTTATATGTTTGGGCAAGCAGAGATAGGCATCTCCCAATAGACCCAATCCATGATTGCTTGGGATTGAGCACGAACAGTGCATGAACCACGCACGGCTTGATTCAAATTGCTTATGTTTGCAAATGCAGAGGTGCGTATCGCCATACATGATTGCTTGAGACCGAGCGCACGTGCTTACTGCATTTGGATTGGACAGACAAGGGCCAATGTTTTGGCGATTCAGGACAGTATACCTTCCGTGCCATACGCAAATCACCCAATTCTTGCGCAATATCTGTTTTTCGAGTTGGTATGAAATTACTGATCTTGTGTTTGCGCTCGCTAACTTGCTTTCGTTTGCGTTCCTTGGGTTCTTTTTTCTTTTCTTGGCAGGTGGTGGTCAACTTTCCCAGGGCTATCTAAAGCTCTTTGTGTTCGACTCTAGCAGTTGTGCTGGAACTGTTGCCCTTTTCTGGTCCTTCCGGGGGGTGCTTTGGGGATTTACTTCTCTGTTCATCTTTTCTCTCGCCACTCGCTTAACGTCTCAAACGTTGTCAAACAGTTGTTGTGCCTGCATGGGAACCTGTCGGTATGGCTGTTTTTTGTTTCGGTAGCAGCTTCTGAACGTCTTACGAAGCGAGTTATTGGGTGGAAGTTTCTCCCGGGGACCAGACCTGTGGCATCAGTTCCGGGTTATTCTCTGCGTTCATTGTCGCTTGACCATGCTAGTCCACCTATCGCTTTTCCATATCCATTGCCGGTTTGTTTGCTTAATCGATTATAGATTGGCTTGTGTGTGTGGCACAGGCGACTCGGCGGGGTTGTCGGGTATTTGAGAATGGGGGTTTGGTATATGAGAATGGGGGTTTGGATATATGAGAATGGGGGTTTGGTTATATGAGAATGGGGATTTGGTAGATGAAAATGGGGGTTTGGGTATATGAGAATGGGGGTTTGGGTATATTGGGGAGATGTATTGTTGGGAGCGAGTAGTAACTGAACTGCGGAGGAATTCATTTCCGTGCTTCATTTGGAAACAATGGACCTTCCTTTTCCCCAATGCTTAATCAGTGATCCGTGGCGGAATGGCCATTTGGATATTTTACTATTCAAATTGGCCAAACACGCCGCGGAAGCTGATTAACTAATGAATTTGAGTAATTAACGTTGTTTTATGAATAAATAATGATGTACAATGCATAAAACCCTAGTTTACAGGTTGTAACTGCTCTTTCTGTGCTGATCGCCAAGACAGAGAAAGTGCAAGATAAAGAAATTAGGACCGGAGAAGGGGGCGAGAAGGAGGGGGCTGCGTCAGGGTGTTGTTTACTCTTGTGTGTTGTAAAAACGCCCACCCTCCCACCCTTCTGTTTCCCATCCTTGTGGCTTTCTGCTGCGGATCCATTTCCATGTTTCATTTGGAAACAATGGACCTTCCTTTTCCCCAATGCTTAATCAGTGATCCGTGGCGTGATGGCCATTTGGATATTTTACTATTCGGACAACCCTTTCTGAGCGCTGATTGGCTAAAATACGAACACGAGATCACCTGGACGGTAAACCACGAGAATTTACTGAGGAAATTATACAGATTTGGTCTGGAAGATAAAGAACTTGATTGATTTGAGAATTACTTGACGGGACGTACTCAGCGTGTCTCTATCGAAGGTATCTTGTCTAACTTTGGTGAAATTACAGCTGGTGTACCACAGGGGTCCATTTTGGGCCCACTGCTGTTCGTAGTTTACATCAATGACCTTCCATCTGTTCTATCAAACTCTGAGATCCTAATGTACGCTGATGATACCGTGATATTCCGTGAGGGTACTGAAGTATACAAAATTAAACAAGAACTGTCTGACGATTTGGAAAATGTAAATTTGTGGTTTAAAGATAATATGCTACATATGCATAATGATAAAACGAAATCTGTTCTATTTGGAACAGTTAAACGCCTTTCAATGAACGATGAGCTAAGAATTGACCTACAAGGAAAACCTATCAAAAACGTGACATCCTATAAATATCTTGGTGTCTACTTAGATCGAGGTTTATCATTTATTGAACATATAAATCGCCTGAAGATGAAAGTACTGTAGCTAAACGGTTAGGTGCTTTGACCAGAAGTAGACCATTTCCAACTAGTTATGCTGCTATTAAAGTCTATACAGCTATGGTACTGCCGGTCTTTGACTACTGTGACGTTGTTTGGGACACTCTCAGCGACTCACAGCAACACAAACTAGAAAAACTACAAACAAGAGCAGAAAAAATCATAAACATGTATCAGTCTTACGAACAAAACATCTACTGGCCTTCGCTAGTTTCTCGCAGGAAAATGCATACTGCCATTTTAGTTTTTAAATGTTTAATCAATAGTTCAAGAGTTCCATCTTTCTTACAAAACTATATTGACTTATCTAATCCTGGCAGATTACCGACAAACTGCGCGCATAAATGTGATATACCTAAAGTTAAACTGGTAATTGGCAGTAAGGGCTTTTATGTTAGAGGCCCACAAGTTTTTAACAGTTTGCCTTTGCGTATTCGGGAAGAAACCGTTTTCACAAACTTTAGGAAGAGAGCCATAGACCACTTTAGTAATCCATAGATGATCTTCCTAGCATAGATTATAGTAAATTGTACGATCATTAATTTATTATATTCTGTATAATCTTCATATAATCTCTTAAAAACAAATTTGTAACTAGTTAGTATTCAGGGCTCACATTGATACCAGTTCTTCTGAACTGACGTGACTACCCTGACGAAATAAAGTTGATTTGATTTGATTTGAAGTCTAAAGTTCATCAATGAGCACGGGCGTGGGTTACCGAGAGTGGTTCACTGAGCTATAATATATCTGGAGCAAGTGCTCCCATCTCTCTTCAGTCAAGCAAGTGAAGCCAAAAACATGGCGGATTTTCACGTTTGCTGACGCCAGACATGGCCAGAAATGGAGGACATCAAGCGGTTGGGCGTGCGGGCTCATATTTTCTTGATAATTCAATGCACTATACAGACCAGATATATAGAAACAAGCAAAATTATAAAATATAACAAACTTTACGCCAACCGAGTCTTGTCCATGCTCAAATTTCAAAAGTCTACCAATACCCAATAGTTATAAATGTTTTGAAGTCGGCAAATCAAAATTATTACGAAATCCCGCGAATTTTAGAATGTTTACGAGACTACAGCCTATATTGACAGCGGTTAAAACCATTGTAACGTAGCAACAGCTTTATAAAAGCAATGGCGGACAACAAATATAACTCTTGGTGCGAAATTTGTGATATTTTTGTTCCAAATATGGTGCATTTCTCATCACAATTGGACGGACACCTCTCTACAAAATACATGCAATTCATCGCTTTGGGGAACATACTAGTGTATACTTTTACGCTTCATACAAGTGACAATAATAAAGAGGAATACTGTACGAAGAAATTCAGATATGCACATTTGACGATATCTGTAAAGAACGAGTTGAAATTGGACCTGCAAAATACCGAATATGTCGAAATCACATACTTTCCTATGCAGAGACTAGGCAGAGATATTGATTGCTCGGGAACATACTTAGACAACTCGAGTGGTACCAATTTTTTTACGGATAAAAGTTGGACAGAATCGGTGAAGTTTTAGATATGCACATTTTGGATTTCTCAACCGTAAGTTATCAAAAATACAAATTTTGCATTATTCCCATTCAAATTATATAAGAAGACGCCATTTTTAATTTTTATTTTGAGTCAAAATGCGCATGCTTGGCAGCCATGTTGGACTCCATTTCTGGCCATGATGACGCCACTGGTCCCAAATCCTCGTGGTAATTATCACTGGCCAACCGCGATCCTCGGTTTCAGACGACAATTTCACCCCCCTGGTTTTTGAAAAAAGTCTGAAACTCTGCTGAAAGTTTATATAAAAAAACGCATCAAGAAAATATGCCGAGTTTTCGCATGGTTTCATGATGCCACAATTCTTTATCAAGAAGAAACATTTCTTCTTTATAAAAAGAGAGCTACTAGATTTAAAAATTATAGCTGTAAATTTTTGACCAAGGGCAAAATTTATCCCCGAGCCGACGGCGCGAAGCGCCGTGCGAGGGTACTAATTCCCCCCTGCTATTTACACCCGGGGAAACGAAAGCATTAGCCAAGTCTAAAGTTCATCAATGAGCGCGGGCGTGGGTTACCGAGAGTGGTTCACTGAGCTATAATATATGTGGAGGAAGTGCTCCTATCTCTCTTCAGTCAAGCAAGTGAAGCCAAAAACATGGCGGATTTTCACGTTTGCTGACGCCAGAATGACGCCACTGTTCCCAAATCCTCGTGGTAATTACCACTGGCCAACCGCGATCCTCGGCTTCAGACGACAATCCCCCCCCCCTGTTTTTTGAAAAAAACCTGAAACTCTGCTGAAAGTTTATATAAAAAAACGCATCAAGAAAAAATGCCGAGTTTTCGCATGGTTTCATGATGCCACAATTCTTTATCAAGAAGAAACATTTCTTTTTACCGGTAAGATGTATTGTAAATGCTTCATTTGTACTAAATAACTACCGTTTTATTCGTAGTTATCAGTCGGCTATCAGCTCATAGACGACTCGAGTTCATGGTATAGGCTAATTGTTAAATATACACATATACTACAAAACTAGACTAAATTTAAATAATTATTAACAAAAGGATGGAATATGGACAATTACCAGCTAAAGCTTAAAGTTTAGTTCACGTAAATTTGCCTCTGCCTCTGGTGTGATTTTTAAGTTAAATACTCGAAAGTTTTGTGGAGTTCTTTTCTCGTTTTAGTTTAGTAGTTAACGAATTCCTACACAGATGACACGCTTTGACGTCGGTGCATGACCATTTTCGTTGAAAGCAACACCTTGGTAACTCGCGCGTGAGACTGCAGATGTGCGAAAGTATGGAGAAGATCTGTCATTACACCAGCTATTACAATGCTTGTAGCAGCCAGCTGTATACCCAGAAAAATGGAGGCCCTTGTAGAAATCTGTATCACAAATTAACATTTGATATTCAAAATCTGTTGACGCAACACCTTGTGCGGTCCACAAACCAAATGCATCGGCCTTCTTATTATAATTACCAGAAAAAGTAACAGCTGGACCACTCTTGTTAAATGCCGCTTTTTCTTTCGTTGCTTCATCCACAAATATCACTCCAGTAAACTGAAATAAAATATAGTCATTAGAAAACATCCTTTGCTACCTACAAATATTGGGTTCCCCCATTCATGGAAAACACACGAGTACGTACTGTTTAGGCATGCGACGTTTTTGTCAACACGCAAACGTCACGCATACAGAATCGACGGAGCTGTCGTGGCACAGAATATTGAGACCACACAAAAGTTAAACTTCTTCACGGCGCCTGTGATATTGGTGAAGCGGAACAGCATAACATTACAAATAATTTACCAACTACTATTACAGACAATAGTACCATTATAATAGCTGATGAATGTGTATCTGAAGTGGATAAGCATAACATTACGAATAACGTGCCAGCTACCTCAGTAAATAACACCATTATAATGACTGATGATCGAGAATGGCTTGGTCACCTCCCTTTGATTGAAGCACCTAATAACACTACGAATAATTTACCAACTACCCACCGGGCACACGACGTTGTTTCAACGTTGAAATTTGGTAGAAAAAAGGTTGCGACGTCGACAACCTAATATCTATGTTGCTCTGACGTTGTTTTACAAACATTGGTTCAACAGCAGCCAACAGACGTTGAATTAACGTTCATTCATGGTTAAATGTACGACGTCGATTTGTGAACCAATCTCAACGTTGTTTTAACGTGGATTCAACGTTGAATTATGGTTGACGAGATTGGCAACCTAATTTCAACGTTGTTTGAACGTCGAAACGGTAACGTCGATCCAATTTGCATAGTCAACCCTTTTTCAACGTCTATCCAACGTCTGGAAGGTCATTTCCAACGTTGATTCAACGTTGGATAAACGTCATTTTGCCCGCTGGGTACTATTACAGACAATAGTACCGTTATAATAGCTGATGAATGTGTATCTAAAGTGGATAAGCATAACATTACGAATAACGTGCCAGCTATCACAGTAAATAACACCATTATGACTGATGAACGAGAATGGCTTGGTCACCTCCCTTTGATTGAAGCACCTAATCCGGCTCCATCAAAAAATCTACTTTATGAAAGCACTTTCAACCACACTTTTCGAAGTAGATATAATCCAGAAGCACCGCATCAACAATTTCATCAGAATAAGTACAACAACCGGTGTATACGTAAAGGCCAGAACTTTAAGCGACCAGTTATCCATCGCAATAATCCAATTACGCCCCATTTTCGATGGTACCAGACCAATTACCATCCCCCACTACGATCCGAGAGACTAACACAAAGTTTAGAATGGGAAACGTACTTAGACTTTGTCCATCAAATGACAACGCCCTATATGCACGGTCGACAAAAACTGACACAGTTTTTCTAACCGAAAGTTCTCCGACCATCTACCCGATCAAGGTGGTATCTGGTCGAATCCGTGAACAGATTACTGGTGCGAAACTGAGAAGTAATCCGCATAACCTGATCAACGTTACGTTCGAAAATTAACCCATTACAAGCAGCGCCGCTACCTAATTTAATAGATACTCAAGTCAGCAATTCCATGACAATGTCTAGCTCAGATATAGAAATCTTACCATCTCAAGGCCTGGTGTCTACCCTTCCCAAATTTTTTCTTTCCAATGTACGATCCATATCCAATAAAGTAGATGATTTTGATGTAGTCGTCCAAAGAAATGGCATAGATTTTGCGGGAATTACAGAGACATGGTTGAATCCTAGCATCCCGGATAGCTGTATAAATATCCATGATTTTAACCTGGTTAGAAAAGACCGCTCTGGTCAACGCGGGGGCAGAGGAGGTGGGACAAGCAGGCCGCAAAGCATCATGGGTTTGAGCGCCTAATTCCAGGCGTGGCTTCAATGACTCTTTGACTGTCGTGGAGTGAAGATCTCTCTAAGTAAACAAATATGGAAGCATTCGAAAGACAAGATTGTCAGGCTGCAATACTTCGTGAAAATAGCATATTGTTGCTGTATTGTTGCGATCCTCACTATGACATGTGAGTTACTGTACCAAGTTTACCTTATATTAAATTGCATGGGACGTGCTGTCTTTTTATAGCTTTATAAATAATCCGCGAAGGAATTGTGTTATTCCCAATAGCAAGGCTCTTTTTTCTAAGTTGGATGGAATCTCCGTGTATCATCAACAAGCGCAGTATTTAAGGTTGGTATCCTACAATGCAATACAGTTGACTTGTTTCAAATTTCCGCTTTGCTGTTTTCAATATTGTACTGTAATTTTATAAATACACTGTACAAATTATGGCGTAATATTTCAAATATTAAATTCAACCCTTTAGTTTGACCCTATTCCTGATGAGTTTACTAATGAAAACATCCAGCATATGCTTTTGGATTTCGATGTGGATCATATCAGCTGACAGAGAATACAATTGATGATGGACATTGGTTTTCAGATGAGTCTAAAGGTATTGTTATTTGTATGTATTTTATAATTTTTTGCTGAGTATGATGCCTGTTTGTATCTAGTTGTGGATGGTTGTTTAAATGTGCAAACTGTAGTTTAATATTTTTCAATTTTCATCTAAATATTGCTATGTTTGTGTGTTGTTCTAATACACAGACCTAACACAGTTAGGTATATTAAGAATTTAGAGGTTACATGTGCTTTTGTGTAAGATTGCTAATTTTAGAGATGACGGTGCATGAAATAATAATTTTCTTGTTATGATTTTGTAGAAAGAGATTTACTTGAGTTGTTGGCTAAATTCTTGAGCCTGTTCCGGATGGATATGATAATGAAAGAGGTGATCAAGGTGA